ATCTCCATGAAATATTCATTTGTCTGCAAGTAAGAGAGATCACATTTAATTACGTTTGAGGGGCATCTTCTATAGAATTAAATGTCAAAACCTCATTTGCCTACCTAGTAATTTCAAACACAGCCTACACTGGGCTTTACATGCACACACATGCATGGCATTAATTCAGAAGATGAAGGGAAATTAAAAACATACCAACACTTCCATACATATAAATAACGTTTACTCAAGTTGCTTGTATATTAAATCCAACACAGCCTTGTCTGTTATTACAAACTGCAAACAACAATGAATTAATAGTACAGAGTTATCTAGAATGTGGCCATTGCTCATATAAGGCATTTATGCAATCTGTTTATAAGATTAGTTTTTTTAAACAGCTACAGGCCAATGTTAGCTATTGAAAATGTGTATCAAGCACATAGTAACAGCCTCTTGTCATGCCTTAAATCAACTTCAAATAAGAGACTTTGACTGTAATCAATATTACTTATCTGTGTAAGCACTTCGCAGAACACTTTTACCCTGAAACACTGATGAAAAGCACTTCACAAAAGCTAAAATAATAAAATAATATAAATGCTTCCACTATTTCAAAGGAACTCATTGCCAAAAGCTAAGACAAAGTCTGTTGTTGCCCTTCCGTCCCCCCCAATCACTTATTTAAGGGCCTACTCACCACTGTGTTAATCTAATTTCACACACATGTAACCTGTAAGAGCTCAGCGTAGCCATTCCCCAGTAAAGCTGGAAGTGAACCAAGGTCAAGTGATTCCATTATTTCTCTGTATTAAGGGGTTTTTATTTTCATGTGGAACTAATGTAAACCAAAACTATTTACTGACAATGAAGGCTTTTGTTTGTAGGGCCTGGTGTACAGGCTGCTTCCCTTCCTATGGCAAAGTGACCCATAGCTGCAGTCACCATATCTTTCACCCTGCAGCCAGCAACACCTGCAACCAGCAGATGAAGACCTACTGAGAAGACACCTATTGAAGAGGCTGCTATTATTCTTAACTGCTTGCAGAGTGCATTTCCAAAGCCAAAAAGAGAAACTGCTTTTTACCTATGTTCTCTGCTGGTGCTGGGGCTTTTTTAAAGTGTAACTTCCATATATGAAACTCTTCCTAGATGTATGGCTTTCCAAATATATAGATGGTATTTGGAGATGAAGCTAAGCACCCCATTCCTCCAAACATCACAGCTTTAAAGCCTTCAACTATCCTACTCCAAACATACAACTGCACTTACAAAAACTCATTTGACTGAGAAACAAACACAACATTGAGCAACAAATAAAGAACAAGTCTGCCAAGACTTCTGAGTAAAGCAGGCAATTCAGTGCATACAAATCAAATGAAAACAGTAGATCTCAGCTGATGATTTCTTGGTGATGGGGATAACTGTTTGTGCAGGATCCAGTTGCGGGTTGGCAGGAGGACTTGCTGCTGGCCCAAAGTAGCAGCAGTGCCCCACAGGTCTGGGGCTTCGCTTGTCGGTGAGGCAAAGTTTGACAAGGCACTGATTTTAGGGGGCCTATAAGGATGCTGGGGAGGGGCTGCTCATTAGGGACTGTAGTGATAGGACAAGGGGTAATGGGTTCAAACCTAGGGGAAGTTTAGATTGGATTTGAGGAGGAGTTGTTTACTGTTAGGGTGGTGAGGCACTGGAATGGGTTGCCCAGGGAGGTTGTGAATGCTCCATCCCTGGCAGTGTTCAAGGCCAGGTTGGACAGAGCCCTGGTTGAGATGGTTTAGTGTGAGGTGTCCCTGCCCATGGCAGGAGGGCTGGAACTGGATGATCTTAAGGTCCTATCCAACCCTAACTATTCTATGAGTGGCACTCACACGTGTCACTAGGTATATGATGGAGGGAGCAGCCCTTGATGGTTTTGAACTGAATCAATGTTTAAAAACAACTCAAGAAATGTAAAACCCCTAGGCTGTCAAAACCACTGGGAAGTGTTTAATATGGCATTACTCCCCCCCATGACTACTGAGGAAAAAGAGCAAGTGAGAGAAACTGGTACCAGATACGGGTCAACACTGCACAGATCAGTCCTGGACTTCGAATCCCCTGGAAATTCCAGGGATGGGATCTCACACTTAATAACAATAAACAGCAAAGGCTCCTCTCTTATTTATAGGCTTAGGACGAAAGAAAACATTATTTTCAAATCCAGCAGTTTAAGTTTAACCCCCTTGGCTTTAAATTGGAGCTCTAATTTCAGAACAAAGCAAGCACCACAGATACCAATTAGTTTCACTGCTTTTCTCTTAGTCTTTCTTGACAAATCTCAATTGTGAATCACCAGTAAAGCAAAAATAAGGAAGAAGCCCTCTGTTTTCCTCGGTCACTTTCTCTGCCACATGGAGAGGAAGAGGCCACAGCAACTTAAGGTATTGTGTTCCAAACAAGGCACATTTTCACCACAGTAGCCTGAAGAAGTGCCCTGCACTTGGGATGAAGCTTGGTTTATGCTACAGCTTGTGTCTTATAAAGGACAGAGAGAAACCATTCAGCCTTCCCTGCCTGAGGCTTCACCCAGGGAACAGTCATTCACAGGAGTAACCCCATTGGCTTCAGTTACTACCCAGCAGTTGGAGTATCAGCATCCTGCTAAAGCATCTTCATTTTCAGCTGCTGAGCAGCTATGTGTGCTCAACAGAGCCAACAGCCTGTGATCCTGCCTTCAGGAGCCTCTGAACACAGCTGTCATTACTGGTGTGAATGCACAGGAATAAGTTGTGGTGGGTGTATCCCAGGTACAATATATAGTTTAAATAGGTACGGCTCTAAAACCAGAAAATCACTTCCCTTCTCCTACTTAGCACCCTTTTTATACCAACAAAGCCTCACATGTAAGTTACAAGTCTACCCTGATGGCTTTTTTCCCCATCTTCTTGCAAGTTTGTTTTCCATTTCAAGGCAACTAAATGGCTAACATTATATTTTAATACTTTAATATGCAACATCTCATTGCTTTGTGAAATATTAATGAGCCCTCAATGCTTCCTTATGGAACTGCTGGAGGTGTCCAGACTGCCTGCTTACCTCAGGACTGCCATGCTGCGTAACTTTGGGGTTTGTTACTTTTCTAAATGCATCATATGAGCTCCCTAACATAAATAGATTCTATGGATAATTGTCCTCGCATGGCAGCACTCTGAGCTGGGCACAAGGGTCTTTTTTGCCCAGTCTTACAGAGATTCATACAAGGATTTAAGGGTGCCCAGAGAGTAACCCGACTCCAGCAATACTCAGATAAATATTATGTCCCTCCTTTCATCAATCAGGACATTGCATTATATCAAACATGCCCTTTCCCTAAGCCATAATTCAAACACCCCCATGCAGCCAGGCACTCCAGCATCCATTGTAGCAGAAGCTAAAATCCCAGCAGTACCTGCATCCATGAACACAAAGCCTCAATGGGACATTAAGCATGTGCTGAAAGCTAAATCCACACTGGGCCTGGCTGGGACTGTTCTGAACATGAGGAATGATGTGCTCTCCCAGGCTGCAAGAAGCTGCAGGCTTTTCCTTGATGACATTAGTGGGAAGGCAGCTGTAAAGGATCTGTCTGATTAGGACTGGTCCATGCAGCAGGGCAGGAGGGTCACTCTGGGTTCAGGTGTGTTTTTTTCTTGGTAAAAGGAGACAACTTCCCATCCCCCAAAAAGTTTGAATTTCCAAAATTCCTTATTTACCTGTTAAAAATACCTTCCAGTTTGTTGGTGCCCCATTTCCTCTCCTTTCTTATTCCCATCACTAAGGAACACTGTTCTTTTTTTACTGTGCGTAACCCACATGGTACTAATTTCATGCAAGTTTGGTGAAATTCCAATGGTAAAGAGGATAAAGCCCATTAACCACTCCAGACAAGCTGCCGACACCTGTACTGGCACCTCACCAAATCCTGAAGGATTAACAGCAAGAACCTGCTACCATTCTCCAGTAACAGCCTACAGCCCTCCAGCAACAGAGCTTGTACCATTGGCTTTACCATCAGCCCTACAAATATTTCACCATCCTTCCTCCCCTCTAAGCTTGTACTCAAAAATGCCATTGAAGCAGTTATTCCACGTGGCTTTGCAGGCAAACTCTGGAACCATTACTCCAGCTTTCTGGAGCACATCACCCTCAGCCATAGCATCCCTGCGTCCTCACTGCCAAGATATACGGGGCTGTGGGCTGTACATGCACTGTGTAGTAACCGTTTACACAGAGGTGGATTTTCACCAGAAGAACAGAAACTGAATGTTCGTTTTACTTCATCTCTTTTATCTCCCTATGTCCACCTAACACAAGGAATGCCATGTTTGTCACCTGCACAGGTTTGCTTACGGCTGCCTCCTTATCTAACAGAGCAGAGGACGTTGTATCAGACCTCCAGAAAGACTTCATACAAGTCAATATAGCAACTCAGAGAATCACATCCTTATCCCATGAGCTGTAACTTAATAAGATAACATATAAAATTCGCTGCATTTTCTAACCAACCACACATGCTGCAGGTCTCCCCGAGACAGCCAAAACCACACACATATTCTGGAGCAGCTACACACACAGAGCCATAATCACAGATGCTGTACAACCATGTTTAAAATACAGCCGCTTTCAAGGGGCTTTCCCTACAAAAGTGAGTAAACTCATGTGAGTGTTACATAGCTAACATTAACCTTGAACCCAGCAAAGCTGCCAAGCCCACAGATATGGTTATAGACAAAACATCTATTCCAACTTAGGGCAGCTCATGCTTCAGGAACCTGCTTATCAACGCAACTTTCATCTGTCCACAATTACCCAAACCAAACACAGAGGAAAAGATCAGCACAGTTTTAGTGTCCAATGAAGCAGATGCAGCCACTCTCTCAGCACCACTTAAATCAAGCTTTAGCATTGCCTTCAAACACAGAAGCTTTCCTTCAGCTTCTCCCTCCAAGCACCCTGTAACACACTGTCTTTTGCAGCAGCTATTCACTAAGAAGAGAACTTACCTTTTGCTCCACTGCTTACAGGGGCACCTCCTGAGCTCACAACACCCTTCACCCCCAGAAAACCAAGGTATAGAGGTTTCCAGTTATGGGACAGCTTATGCAGACTAGAAGAGCTGCTCTCACCTTCTAGCAAGAGCAACCACAGACATGGTGCTCACAGGTGCATGGCAATAAGAGCTGCCACAGCTGCATGTGTTTATCTAATTAGTGCCCACTTCACTGATGAGTGATATGAGACAGCTGGGAGAGTCTTAGCTCTGCCTAATAGATGAGTGAAATGCTGTCTTCACACAGCTGAGGTGAGAGCTGTAACAGTTCTCCTTGTGACCCAACAGAGCTACAAACTAACTACACATCTTCAGAAGATGGGGACCCTTCCCACAGGGAAGAATTTCTTCCTAATGTCTCATCTCAATCTCCCCTCTGTCAGGTTAAAGCCATTCCCCCTTGTCCTGTCCCTACAGCCCCTTGTCGAAACCCCCTCTCCAGGTTTCTTGTCAGCTCCCTTTAGGTATTGGAAAACTGTTATAAGGTCTCCTGAGCCTTTTCCAGGCTGAAGACCCTTCAAACATCCTTCAAACCCTCCTCCCCACATCCACTGCTGGAAGACGGGGTGCAGGTGCCCTCACCTCAATCACTGAGCTCATCTCCCATCTCCTTGGCAACACAAGCAGCAAAGCTCTGGCACTGTCACAGGGTGAAGCCTGCATGCAGCACAGGCCTACCACACTGGTTTCCCACCAGTGCAAAGCACTGCAGGGCACACAGAGGCATGATCCTGTTCCCTGCAGCACACCCTCCGCTGTGGGTGCAGGGTCCCAGATTTACCGCACAGCATCGAATGGCTCCCAAGCACACTGCAGTGTGGTACCTCAGCCCCTAACAGGGTCCCCCCCTCTGAAACACTCACCATCCCTGTGTGCCAAGCAGGGAGTGCCACCACACTCCCTTTGCAAAGGATGCTCTGGCTTTGCATGTCTTCATTTACTTCTATAACCTTAGGATGTGTACAGCATGGAGCATGTAGGATACCCTTCAAACTCTGTCTGCTGAGCGAAGGTGTACTCTCATGGTTTTTAAATATGGGAATCTTACCCTGAGGGTGTTGGACACCTTGGGAAGTTGAACAATTCAGTGATGTTACCTGAAAATGGACCGATAAATACAAAATAGGAGGTTCTGACCTGCACGCTTTGTTCAAGATTATGCAGCCAGAGATGAGGGCAGAACTAGTAAAGACCATCATATCTTTGAACACACTATTAACTTAATGAAACTCAAGTATTTGAAAGCACTGACCAGAGCTGAGAGTACCAAATCATGTCTACAAAAGGTGCCTTTATGAGCCATCCAGCTCCCACAGAAACCAATAGGGCCCTGCCCGTGTTTAGCTCGGACCCTAGAAGACAGATTACCCTTTTAGGGGTAATCCTTCACACCAAAGCTGTCTGAACAGAGAAAAGAAGGGAGAAATTATTTCCCCATCAGACGTGCTCCCTAGGCCAAATGCTCTGATATGCTCTCTGCTACACAGGCACAGCACAGCTGCCCTCTGTTTTCCAAACACTTGGTGTAGGTTTTGTGCATGCTACAGGTCAGGGCAGTTTCACCCTAATTCAGAAAAGCGCATCTTCCTTCTCTGAAAATACAAAAGGTCAAGAAAGAGGCAGAAAAATATTAACCTGGCGTTTAAAAAAAAGAAAACCATCAGGACCTCAAAGCCATTTCAGGTTCTGTGGGGCAGAGAGGTGGGGAGGGTGAAAGCGATGCACAGCCATTCTCCTTAGCCTTTTGCCCTCCTGTCTGAGAAGGTGCTAATTTTTGCTGTGAACACTGTTATTCTGTCTGCCCCAGTAAGGAGCAATGCTGAGCTCCCCACTGCTTCTAGGATTAAGAGAGCTCATTCCAGTTACCTAGAGTTAATGCTGCTGATCCTGTCCGCTGTTTCATAACCGCTGTTGTATAAAAGCTGTTTGAGATGTGAGTTCACCGCTGTTGTATTCCCATGGAGAAAGGCAGTATTCCTGTCGTGGAGAAACCTGGATTGAACTCTGAGATCCTATTATGATCAGCAAAACCTCCCTGGATTTTATCAGCGTTGAGATTTCACTCATGCTCTTCAGAAGGCACCTTTCTGCATGGCAAACCCACTGCAGTGTTTGAAAGCTCAGAGCTCCTCCACAGAACTGGATAGGTTCCTTGCTTAAGTCCTTACCTGCACATAGTTCTCCTATGAAACTTCACTTCACTTTGCCTGCTGCAGTCTGAACAACACAGGTAAGGGCTGTGTCAGCCTGTCTTTATGAGGATTATTATGGACCCAACATAGTGTTGGAGTCCCTGGTCTGTGCTTTTATTTCATTCTTGTACCAGCACAGCTAGTCCTTTCTTCTGCCTCAAGAAATCTCCCTCTTTTGACCCCATCAGCTATTCAAAGGAGACAGCGAGAAGCTCTGATGTCTGAAGGTGCCCCAGCACAGATTGATGCTGGAGTGTCAGTGACCATCTGCCTCCCGGACCATAGCTGTTCATATGAGCATTGCAGCATCTGCTCTGAAAGGATAGACCAACTCCTTCAGACTTCATTTGAGCTCAGCTTACAGGGCAGCCACTGATTAAGGAGGGCAGGTTACATCCACTGGCTTTCATCTTTCCCTCTTGGGCCCAGCTGGTACAGGGAAGACTCATGGTGAAGTTAGCAGAGCTGAACCAAGCCCTGGTACAAGGAGGGATTACACACAGAACAGCCCCTGCCTTTTAATAACACCCCAACTATATGGGCTCATTTAAATTTTGTAGTATGCAGTTTTAACAGCTAACAAGCCATATCATTTTTATGACTGAGACAGTAATAACACTCTCATTAGTTTTAAATGCTCTGCTGGCAGGCACGGGACTTCTGCAGAGCATCTCATTCTCACAAAGTCTACTGTATGCTGATGGGTAAGTGAGAGCTGCCTGGGTTGAGAGTGATCACAATGAAGACACTGGAAACAGCAAAGAGATAAAGTGAAGACTGCTTCAATTCAGAAATCTCATCCAGCCCCAAATTATTCCCACGGGGAAGACTCTCTGGTTTTAGTTTGGATGACCAGCTGCTGAAGCCATAATCACAGGAAAGGTCCAGCTCTATTCCATCAGAACATGCTCAGTGCGGGCATCTTAAGTTGTATTTAAATACCTTGAGGGAGATGTTGCTGAAGCATCTCTCCAAATGTGTGTACAAACACACTACCTGGGAAGAACATACAGAAGAAAATCTATCAATGACAACCAGAGCAGCTTCTGTCTGCCCTGACATTGCTAAATGTGTCAAACAAAAACGTTTCTGGGGATTTCCTTCAATGCAGTCTTACAAAGTGAAGTTCAATTTATTCAGCTTGTTGAAAAGGAGGGCGAGAGGTGACTCAATCATTGTGTATAGGTAATTACAGATGGAAACAGGATCTGATGGCAAGGGACTTCTTAATCTCACAAAGAACCAGCAAAACCACGTGGCTGGAATCTAAACAAAACCGCGCCAATTCAAACCTGAAATGAAACTGCTCCTGCCATTAGCAGTGGAAAGGCAATTAGGGAATGGAAAAGAATATAAGGGGAAGCTTTAGAGTCATTCACTGGAGATGTTATGGCAAGAGGAGATATCGTTCCCACAGACAGGCGTTATATTCAGATTCTGAGACATGTTTTACTGGCTGCACATCATGGCAGCCCCATTTTGTCTTGAGACTCTCTTCCTGCAGAGTATTCTTCCTTATGTTGTCCCTAATATATCTGTAATAATCCTAATGCTACCATTAAGATAACAACCACAACTGCACATTTTGGAGCATCAGACACCCTGCAGGATTTAGAAACAACGTTAACTTCCTATCCTCCCCACCTCCCCAGTTCTCCACTGATGAGGCATCTTACTTTCCTATCATCTTTTCCATCATCTTGCTTTAAACAACAAGGGACAGAAGAGATCATCACTAAATAAGATTACAACACACCCAGAATGACAGATCAGAACTGCAAATGAGGAACGCTCTTTGGTGCATGACTGGTGTGCATCCCTTTCATGTGCAGGCAAAACTCAGACCAGATTTGGGCAGCTAGGAAAGAACATCCCAAGGAAATTTCCCTCATTTTTCTGTTGCCGTATGGGGGTAGCAGTGTAGGTCAAACAACAGAGCAAGAAAGATAAATTAATCCATTCAATAATATTGCTAGTGCTATTTCACCTGACTTTATGCATCTAAGTCTTCCAATACCTTAAAGGGGGCCTAAAGAAATCTGCAGAGGGGCTTTTGACAAGGCCCTGTAGGGACAGGACAAGGGGGAACAGCTTTAACCTGACAGAGGGGAGATTGAGATGAGACATTGGGAAGAAATTCTTCCCTGTGAGGGTGCTGAGGCCCTGGCACAGGGTGCCCAGAGAAGCTGTGGCTGCCCCATCCCTGGCAGTGTTCAAGGCCAGGTTGGACACAGGGGCTTGGAGCAACTTGGTCTAGTGGAAGGTGCCCCTGCCCATGGCAGGGAATAGGAACTGGATGGTCCCTTCCAACCCAAAGCAGTCTGTGATTCTATGATCTATTATTGTTAGTTATTTTAATGTAACTTCTCCTGTTGTATTAAAACCTGCTAAGACTCTTAATTACACTTTGTACAGAACGTAAATCATGTTAACTTGCATGCTTCAAGGTGAAATCAGAAACAATTCCAAGGGAACGTTTTCTCTCTTGGTCTTACGATGTATAACACCAGATGTTCTCATTGCATCTTACGTTGCTAAACAACTGGGCAACAGATACACAGTATGCTAACAGTTCACAAACACTGTAAGGTGCATCCACTCAGGAAAAAGCTTTAATATTCTGGAGTTGAACATCCTAATGCAACCTTGACATTTTGGTTTCAATACAGAGAGTCCTGACAGCAGAGTTAGCAAAGCTTCACCATACTCCAGTCTCCTCATGGACTTCTTCCACTTGCACCTCTGACTTCTCCCCAGAGAAGTCTCATTTCTCACTACCGTCTATGAAGTCTCTTGCTAGAGATCAACACGTCCAGTTCCAATTCTCATTTAGAGTCAAACACTTCACACCCCTCTGCCAGTACAAAAGGGTTGTGGTCAGCCACAATAATACTGC